CCGGCTGGAGCGACGAGACAAAAACATTAAAACCCATTATAAACGAGGCATTTGTTGCATCCAGTGGGGACATAATTACGGTTTATAATGACTTGTACTGTCTTTTTACGCGTTGCATTGCATCGTGCTGCGTAAACATTAAACCATGTCTGCATTTGTGATCGGAGAAATGACAAACAACAAATGCTACTCTACACTGCTCAAAACTCGCGTTTGGATCGTCAGTGGCAAATTCTTTAAATATAAAAAACGTACTTACAGTCTGTGAGTCAGAACAGCCGGCATTGTAGTCTACTCTTCCAGGATCAGGAAACAGTCCTCCATAAAATGCGCTGGACACATCTGAATATTTGGGTTGAACTGTTCTGGAACAGTGTTGTATTAACTTAACCACTGATTTCTAGTCGTGTCCTCTTTTGGAAGGCCAAACAAAGTAGTTTCGCTTTCACAACGAAACACACAGTGTCACACACGGCGGGCTTGAATGAGCGGCGGCCGGCGGCCTAGAGTGAGGAACGGCCGGTGGGCTTGAGAACGGCGCGGCCGGCGGGTTTGCGGCAACCACATGTGACGACCCCGGGCTGGACTCCACTTCGTCCACGGTGAAAGCCGATCCGGCGATCCACAGCGCGAAGTTGATGTATTTCCTCAGTGACCAGCACGGATCAGCTCTAGGCATGACGAAGCGCCAAACAAACAAAGTAGTTCTCTTTCAGTCGGTCACTACGAGTCGACGAATTGGGATATCTTTGCGTGAACATTTGGGCGGCGTTATGCAAATCTTCCCACACAGTGACGTAGACATGAACTCTAATTTTCTCACATAGTCAAAAGCACCCTCAGTTAAAACTGTAATAATAGGATATTGGCAAACATATATTTGGTAAAGGCTCCAGTGCATATTTGTGTTTGCAATCCTTTCAGACGAATTGGGATCCCTACCAAAGCGCCATGGTGCTGCCCCTTCCAGTGCCCTGTGCGAGCCGCCTGCGCCCCTATCTGGTAGTGCAGCCTGAAGTGCGCAACCCACTCGACACTGGAACGACCACCGCTGAAGCGCCGTCCCGCCAACACAGAAAGCTTCCGAGAGCGTGCTGAACTCGTAGTTCTCGAAATAAACATAGAGCAGAACGATGTTGTCGCTCGGCTCCGAAGCGAAAAGCTGGTATGCATTGCACCTGCTGCCTTATTATACTCACGCTGTGATCAGTGGCAGCTGGATGCAATAATTGCATGCCAATGTGCATTGGCTCGTTTAGTTTACACTCGAAGTAGATTGGTCTATCGAAGCGATATCCCAATTCGTCGGTCACGACGTGACTCGTAGTGACCGACTGAAAGGGAACCAAAACTCCATTGGCGACAGAAATGGAGAACAAATAAAACCTTGGGAGAAGCAGTTGAAATGATGCTAAAGCTCTCTTTATCGATGTTTAGCCCTCTGGTTCTCCTTATTTGGGGGTCACACTTGTGGTCTTCACGGTCAAAAGTGACCGGACACCTGAAATGTAACTTTTTTTCGCTCCAGTAAAATCAATGTAATATATTTTTGTTCAATAATATTTTTTCTTTTTTCTTTTGTATTTTGAGATAATTTCATGGCACTAATTTATATTTATGCAATAATTATGATGAATTTCTGCCCATTCAAAATAATACAAATGTTTATTTTTATATTACTTTTCAATGAATGCAGTATTTCATGTTAAAATAGAGTCAATGCCTTTAAAATCCCATTTTTTAAGCCAGATTAGTGCCATCTGGTGGGAGTAAAATAAGAAAAACATCTGCAATTCTATGGTTTAGTCCATAGATTCGTATATAGCTCTATATAAAAGGCCTATAAATTCTCTAATTGTTTTTAGACATAAAAATTTATTTTTATTAAGTTGTGGGTTTGGATATATATTTAGACATTCTCAAAGACAACTTTTTGTAAAGGTTTAGATTTT